TCCTGAGTGCTGGGATTAAAAGTGTGTGCCACTACCACTCAGCCAATTTAGATTTTTTTTTTTTAAAGGAGGAAGGGAAACAAGACAAAAAACAGCCACGAAAATCAGAGCGCAGCCCTAAAGGGAATGTTGCTAAAACCAACATAAAGAATGCAAAACGGCGTCACTAAAGTCTCCCTGCGAAGTGTGTAGTGAAGCCTTTCTGCCCTCCTTGTTAAAAATGGGAGGTAGAGACAGCATAGTAGCATGATTACATACGCCTGGGACCTCAGCACGCAGGAGGCTGAGGCCAAAGGACCAGCCTTACCTAAATATCAAGTTAGAGATCACCTGGGGTTTATAGGAGACCCTGCCTCAAAAAAAAAAAATAAATAAAATAAAGGAAATTTGCATGTGTGAGATACTAAAGACTTTCGGGTGGTGGTGGCACACACCTTTAATCCCAGCATTTGGGAAGCAGAGGCAGGAGGACTGCTGTGAGTTTGAGGCCAGCCTGGTCTAAAGAGCAATGCCAGGACAGTCAAGGATGTGAAACTCCATCTCAAAAAAACAGAAAACAAACAAAGATGGATGAGCATTAAGCTGATTATTTATCTCCGAGAACTCAAAGATAAACCAAAGAACTTGAGAACATGAAAGGTTTTTGTTAATCAAAAGATTTATTGTATTTTTATTTATTTATTTATTTTGGTTTTTCGAGACAGGGTTTCTCTGTGGCTTTGGAGCCTGTCCTGGAACTAGCTCTATAGACCAGGCTGGTCTCGAACTCACAGAGATCTGCCTGCCTCTGCCTCCCGAGTGCTGGGATTAAAGGCGTGCGCCACCATCGCCCGGCTGTATTTTATTTTTAATAGTGTGTATATCTGTGTGAGTAGAGTTGCCTGTGGAGGCTGGACAAAGTCGTTGGATGCCTCAGAGCTGGAGTTGCAGGTGTTTGTGATCCTAACCACCGGACCATCTCATCTCTCTAGTCTCAAAAAAAAAAAAAAAAAAAAAAAAAAAAAAAAAAACCACCAAAACCGAAACCGAAACCCAATAACCAAAACAAACCTTTATTGTCTAAAAAATACTTGAAGTTTTTTTTTTTTAAATAATAAACATCACATACCAAGATTAAGCAAAACAAAAGCAGAAAATGCCTTTTCAATCCGTGACTGTGCATTCTGGAGCCTTGGAGATGGAAGCCTGGCCTTATTCCTATTAAATGAGCTCTCTGCTTATTTATTGAACTGCGACCCCAGTTTTGCTTTGTTACTTAAACCCTTTATAGATGTTTGCATCCCTTTGGGGGATTCACCTACACTGGAAGTCACCGAACTGAATGATGACGATAAAGAAAATAACAACAATGTTGATTTATTTTCTTTCTCCCTGCCCCCGCTCCCAGACAGGGTTTTTCTGTGTAGGCCTGGCTGTCCTGGAACTCTCTCTGTAGACCAGGCTAACCTCGAACACAGAGATCCACCTGCCTCTGCCTCCAGAGTGCTGGAATAAAACATCACCTCCTGATGACATGTTGAGTTTTATATTGTTGAGGTCTAGGTTTGTTATAAATCAGGCCCTGGGTTAAAAGGTTTGTATTTAAGCAAGTTATTATGATCTCGTACCAACTCCTAAGACAGCTCAGGGGAGCCAATTAGATAGCCCATAATGTCAAAGCTTTAGAACATCCGTTATGAATTATTTATTTCTATTTTCTATTTTTTTAAATTTCCCTCTTTTAAAAACAATTTTCTTTGGAAGAGCATATTTAGGAGCTGGAGAGATGACGCAGCAATTAAGAGCATGTACTGCTCTCGCAGAGGACCCAGGAGCCTCACAACCTTTCTAGGGGATCCGATGCCCTCCACCGACGCCTCCAGCGTCAGGCATATATTTGGTACCCACACATACAGTCACATAAAAGGCACTCATGCACGTGAAATACAATGGAGCTTAAAAATTTAAACATTCATCTGTAACCTTTCAAAATGAGTATTAGTGCACAGTTCTGAATGGGTAACTATTTCATTCAAAATTTCTACTTCAATTTTATTCCATGGGTGTTGGGTGTCATAAATGAAATAAGTCAGACACAGAAAGACAAACACTACGTATTGTAACTCGAATGTGGGTTTTCTGTTCTGTTTGTGTGTTTGAGACAGGGTCTCATGTAACCCAAACTAGCTGCCAACTCTCATATTAGCCCTAACTGGCCTTAAACTCCCAATTCTCCTGTCTCCATCTCTTGAGTGGTAGGGTGTGAGGCACCTTCGTCAGCTCATTCCCTGTATGGAAGCTCGAAGGAGTTCCCACGGAAGCAGAGAACAGAATAGATATTACTAGGAAATGAGCAAGACTAGCAGACAGGAAGGACAGAGGGAGATGGGTAATGGATACGAAATATGGTTAGATAAAAAGGAGGCATTCAAGCGTGCTTTCCTACTAGGTTTTCTTTAGTGTGTGTGTGTGTTCGTGGAGGTCAGAAAACAACCCAAAGCGTTCAGCTCTCTCCTTTCCCTTCTGCCGCGTGGATTCCAGGAAGCCAGGTTTGGCAGCCAACAACTTTTCTTGCTCTGTCATCTCTCCAACCCTGAGTTCTTTCTTTTCTCTTTTATGTTTTTTAAAAGTTTTTTATTTTATTTTGTATGCATGATTGTTTTGCCTGCATATCTGTGCACCACAAGAGGATGTCTGATTTCCAGGAATTATGGATGGTCTGTGAGCTGCCATGTGGATTCTAGGAACTGGACCCAGGTTGCTGGGAGGGCAACACATGCCCTTAATTGCTGGACCGCCTCTCCAGGCTCCCAGAAGCCCTGGGTTTTTACATTTTGTAGCATGGTAGGGAAATTTTCATTAACAATGATTTGTTGTATATTTCATAAGGAAATAGAAGAGTCCCTAGGACCCAAACACAAAGAAATGAGAATGTTTGCCATGCGAATATTAATTACTAGCTAACTAGTTTCTGTCATCCAGAAAGCCTCTGCCCCCTCCACAGGAGATCAAGTGAGTCTCCTCCTACCTCCAGAGGACTGAGTGATTCTTAATGTTATTATTAATAAAAATTCAGAGACTTAGCTGGGTGTGGAGGTGCAGGCCTTTAAACCCAGCATTCAGGAGGCAGAGGTGGGCAGATCTCTGAGTTCTAGGGCAGCCTGGTCCACAGCAAGTTCCAAGTTCCAGGCCAGTCAGGACTACATAGTGAAAAGACTCTATCTCAAAAAAACAAAAACAAACAAACAACAAAACACAAAACCAAAAACTACAAACACACAAAAGTTCAGAGTCTGGATTCTGTGTGTTTCAACTTCCTGAGAGCTTCTCTGAGGACAGACACCACACTTTCTCAGCCTGCTGTGTTCCCTAGACAGTCCCTGGCACACAGTAGTAAGTGCTTGTTAACTAAGACTGACTAGAAATGGGTACAAACGCCTGCTTCCTCATCCCCCTACCTATATTGAGGGATTGCTGATGGTGACCTGTTTATTGTCATCATTTAGGAGGTACCTGGTAAAAGCTACTGAATTAATAGCAGAATTATCCTGCAAACGAAGCAAAGCAGACATTTGGTTCCCAGACAGATTAAAAAAAAATTATGTGGCATACTGGGTCAAAACTTGGGGTTCAAAATATACTAATTTCTGGGTGAAGCGCGGAAGGTGGGCTCCTCAGCAGTTTCATCACAGCAGCAGAATTTCTTCCAGATGCTGTTCAATATTTGGGGGGGTGGGGCTGCTAATCCACCGTGGCTCATCTTGGGCTAGTACAAGACGTCTTTGCCCTTGCTCAGAGGGGCGGGTACTCTCGACTGTTCGTGAGAACACACCATAGGTCCATAGTTTGTGATTGGCTGGTAATAATATAAAATAGGCTCCTGAAATCTATCTTGAGACTTCTCCCACCATCCGTTTTCCAAACCGCCATCCAGCAGCGACCTACTAGGTGTTCTGCGGAGTAAAGGACTACAGGTCGACAGAGTGCCCCGAACTAAAAGTGAATGGGTCCAACAGCACCTCATGCGGCGCTCAGCACCAAGCAACCTAAATGAAGCCTCTGCTGTGACGTCTAGGCCCAACTGCTGGGCTGCACTGGGATCCCACACAGCGAAGGGAGCGTTCCTTGGAGGGCATCAGTTTACACCGGTCCCTTACTTGCCTTTAGGATGGGGCACTGGGCCTAAAAAGGCAAAGTGACGTGGTCCAGGGCTCTGAGGTGGGGGTTAGGTCGGCTATCCCATTGCGGAGGTAACAGAGAGTCCCGCAGCAGAGCTAAGTTTGCACGGCGAGTATGTTCTCGGCGTCGAGGGGGCTGGTGAAGGCTCGGGATGGACTCCATCCCCGCTCCTGCGCGACGTTCCCGGTGGGACTCAGGAACCAAGGGAAGCCGTGCGTTCCGACGGTGGGGGCTGAGTTCCTGGGATTCAAGGCCACGGATCTGGGCACTCGATGTGTTCTCCAGGTATCTCCCGAAGGGGTGGGGAGTAGCTAGGGTCCGTGTGGGTGGAGCGGGGCGTGGGTGTGGCTCCGGACCTGTGATTCAGAGAGCCAGGACCTGCGGGAGTCTGCTGGTGCCCCACACTCGGACCCGAGATGACAGCCAGCAAGCGAGTAGCGAAGGTAGGCGCATTGAAGACGACTCCTTTCTAGTGCCCTCGCCTCATGCTCTGCGCCTTCCGTTTCCTCCGGCTGATCTCTGAGCGCTTTTGCTTATTAGGGGTACCAGGGTGGGCTGAAACCCAGGCATCTTCACCCTCTCCCAATGAAGGAATGAGAAGAGGCGGTCGGGATGTATGTGTGTGTGCCTGTGTGCGCGCGCGCTAGGATGGACACACAAGACAAGAGCTGTCACTAGCTTTCCAAGTTGTACTAGGGTGAATGTGTGGGTGTGTGGGTGAGAATGAACTAGCTCCCCAAAGTGGTTTCAGTTTCAATTCTGCTAAAAATTTATTAGTGGGGCGTTATCTCAGGCACAGAAGGGTTCTGTTGCGCCACCTACTGTTAGAGATGCAGACGGGATGGGCGGTCCCTGGAAAGAATGTATACAGAATAGTCCCTGGATGAGAAATTCCAATTTATGCCCTGTTAGGTTCACACGCAGTCCGCTACAGATGCTAAATGCCTATTTTGTACGAGCGCAGTGTCAGGCGGCAGGGGGCAGAAAAGGAACAAAAATCGTATTCCTTTTGAGCTTTCGTTTCCTTCTGGGACCCTGTTTGAGTACGATCTGGAAGAATGGGAAGGGGGTAGTTTCCTTAGGACCATCTAGAGGGCTGAAGGGAGCCGCGGTTGGAGATCCTAGCGGAGAAACGCTGGTGAGCTGGGGCTGGCACACCCAGGCTTTAAGTCTTCCCCAATCGCCCCTCCAGTCTGCCGAATTTAGGGAAAGGCTGTTTCACGAGAGTAAAAGGGTGGCCGTTGTTGTCAGCTCTACAAAGGGAAATTCTTTAAATTGGAAAAGGCCAGAGCTGACTCATTCCAGAACTAAAATTTGAAGGCTGGCGCAAAATGGGGCAGAGGGGGTTTGCTACCTCAGTGCTAAGAGATGGACTGCCTTGCATTGCTTCCAGAACCCTGAGTGCCAGGCAGTTTTTTATCTAATTTTTATAGCGGCTCTGTGAGATAATTGTGTCTTCCCATTTCACAGAGGAGGAAACTGAGATATGAGAGAGAACATGGCTGACCAGTGCTGTTCAGGTATTCAGCGGGAGTGACTGGGCTGGAATTTGAGCCCAGACTGAAGAGACTCTAACTCACAGGGCCTTTAATGGCCTTTGTGTTTTCACTTTCAGTTCCTCTAAGTCAGGTGACTTACTAGCAGGCTTTGGGAGGAGCTGCGTGCCCTAGCTTGGATTTCAGCAATTATGAGCAAGGCATGGCAGAATAAACCAAAACAAATGAGAACTAAGTATTCCCAGTGGTAAGAGAGAAAATTCCCCTTCGGTATTTTTTTTTTTTTTGAGATAGATTTTATGTAGTCTGGGTTGGTCTCAAATTTGATATGTAGCTGACAATGAGCTTTAATTTCTTTTTTTAAAATTATTGCTTTTATTTTATGTATATGGGTGTTCTGCCTGCATGTATGTCTGTGAATCACCTGCATGCCTGGTGCTAGCAGAGGCAAAAGAGAATATCAGATCCCCTGTAACTGGTTGTTACGGAGATAGTTGTTAGTCACCATGTGGGTGCTGGGAATTGAACCCAGGTCCTCTGGGTTAGAGCAATAAGTGGCCTCTAACTGCTGAACCTTTAATTTCTCGATTTTCTGCCTCCACCTCTTAAGTCCTGGGATCAGTGATGTGTAACACTTGATCAAGTTTTATGCAGGGCTGGGAATTGAACCCAGGGCTTCACACTTGCCGAGCACTCTACCAACTAAGCTGCATCTCCAGCCCAGAACATGTCCGCTCAAGATCTGTGCTTTATGTAAGCCTCTCTTCTTGCCCAAGCTCTAGAAGATAGTTATAGTGAGGTAGAAGAGGCAAATGTGTGGTCATGGTTCTAAGTAGGAGGCACAGGAAGCAATTTGTTGGCATGACTAGACGTGGAAGAGAGGCTGAGAGATAGAAGGGAGTGTGGGAAGTTTATGTGTGTGGAGAGGGAGTACAGAAGGCTTACTGCAGCAAAGGACTCCACCTCGAACCCCCTGGGCAGGGGAACTTTGCCTGTGTTTACACAAGCATTTCCCAACCTTATCTCTGTTGACCCTTGGGACCAGATAATTCTTTGCAGGATGTTTCCTCAGCATCTGGACGTTACCTGCTGAACTGTGGTAGCACTTACCCCATTTGGGATAAGGGAAGATGTTCTAGATATTGGCAAATGTGCCCTAGTGGGTAAAGGCATCCTTGCATGAGAACCAGCAGTTTGTACCTATTCCTTGTCCCAGAGGACTGAGCCGCCTTGAATGTGTGTTTTACAACGCCCCGTGTGTCATCATCCCCCCTCCCATACACACACAATGAGAAGATCTGGAGTTCCATGGGTGAGGTCCCTTGGTCAGATGCACTCTGGTAACTGGAGACTCTGGGCATGCTGGGGGGTGTGGTTCAGTGGTAGGGTACCACCTAGTATATTCTAGGCACTTAGTTCCATCCCCAGTACGGCACTAACCAAACCAAATCCACAAACTCTGGGTTGTTCTGTAGTGACGAAGCTGTTTAGCTCAACTTTCCCAAATGTACTTAGCCATGAAGCCCTTTTGCTGTAATAACTATTAATATTCCAGGGGCATCTGCACACCTTGTTTTGCCTGGGCCCTCGGTTTTGGCGTTCTGCTTTTCTGCCTGGTGGGCTCCAACTACTCCTCAAGGCCCATCTCACGGCATGCGACCTCTGTGAAGTGCTCCTGTTCCCCCTCTTCCCTCCTTCCTGATCATGTCTATCCACACTATCCACACCCTTCAATCTGAGTTCCCTCCATTACCCCAAAGATGTTCTTGAGGGCTGCACCCTGTCTTCATCAAGGGTCCACAGGGGATACTCAGGATACTGTTTCTGGGAGAATCAGGGATGCCCAATTGACTGGGCCACATTTCTGAGAACCCCTGGTTACCATGTGTCACGCAGAGGTCCTTATTAGGGGCAGCCTGGGTCAGTCCCTTATCCCTGCGGTGGGGTGGTGGAGGGGTATGGATGGGTGATGTCCTTGTCTTTGTTCTGCCAGTGCATATGGTGCTGGAAACTCAGCAGTATCACTGAAGACAGAGAGAGGAAACGGGACTCCGTGACTTTCCAGGAAGCGGGCTAAGAGGACAGAGTTAGGTACCTTGCTTTCAGAAAGAAAGGTTTCTAGGAGAGCTTCCTCCCAAGTTCTCAATATTTGAGAGCAGTGATCAGCTGATTCGCATGCTGGGGCCTCCGGGGCTGGGGTGAGGCTGAAATCAGCTGTGTTGAGTGATCACACCAAGTGCTCCCTAAGCGGTGGCTCTCGAAGTTGGGTTTTCCTGTGGGCCACCAGCTCACAAACAACAGCATGAAGACTTATTAATTATGAAAGCTTGGCCTTAGCTTAGGCGTTTCCCATCTATGTCATATGACTAAAATTAACCTGTTTTTAGTAATCTACGTTCTGCCATGTGGCTTGGTTACCTCTCTTCTGTATTGGATGTCGTGTTGCTGCCTGCCTGGCTTCATCCTGAGTTCCCTTCTCTGTCCGGAAGTTCCTCCTATTCTCTCCCCCCTAGCTATTGGCCAGTCAGTTCTTTATTAAACCAATCACAGTGACACATCTTCACACAGTGTAAGCAAATATTCCACAACAGGCTCTGACCTTTTGCTTTCTGCTCTTGGGATATCCTGTTTGGGCTTGCTGCATGGCTGCCGGTCGGGGGCTGGGGTTATGGGCACTTGGCCCACTGTCCCCCCATGTGACCCCTACAGGAGTTGGAGGATCTTTTGGAACAACTTCCACCGTACCTGCGGGACCTGTCTAGCAATGATGACAACGTGCTGGTGTGGAACATGCTCCTGCTGCCTGTGAGTGTCCCCTCTTAAGTAGGGGGTGACGTAGGCTAGCATGGGCAGGGAGGGTCAGGCCTAGGTGAGATTGTCCTTTGACCTGGGATCTCTTTCTGGAGGTTGTGGTGTATGTTAAAGGCCTCTGGACCAATTCCTTCAAGTCCAGTCAGAGCAATGAACACAACAACAGAAACTTTGGACTTAAGAGGACATCTCTCCTTCAAACCGGTAGCTACCAAGTCCACCAAAGAAGATGAAGCAGACAAACAGTATCAAAAACAGGCAAGGCTCAGTTGGTGCTTATGATGGCCTGAGTTCAACCCTCAGCGCCCATGGAAACAATCAGGCGTAATGCTAGGAGCTTGTCATCCGCCAGTTTTTTTAAAATCTAGCTTATTTCAGTTATCGTGATGTCTTCAATATTACTCCAAGTTGTAGCATGTATTAAGTGTCTCTAGCATGTATTATGTGTCTCTAGTATGTATTATGTGTCTCTAGCTTGTATTAAGTGTCTCTAGTGTGTATTATGTGTCTCTAGCATGTATTAAGTATCTCTAGCATGTATTATGTGTCTCTAGCATGTATTATGTGTCTCTAGAATGTATTATGTGTCTCTAGAATGTATTATGTGTCTCTAGCATGTATTATGTGTCTCTATCATGTATTAAGTGCCCCTAGCATGTATTATGTGTCTCTATCATGTATTAAGTGCCCCTAGCATGTATTATGTGTCTCTATCATGTATTAAGTGCCCCTAGCATGTATTATGTGTCTCTAGCATGTATTAAGTGCCCCTAGCATGTATTATGTGCCCCTAGCATGTATTAAGTGCCCCTAGCATGTATTATGTGTCTCTAGCATGTATTAAGTGCCTCTAGCATGTATTATGTGTCTCTAGAATGTATTATGTGTCTCTAGCATGTATTAAGTGACCCTAGCATGTATTATGTGTCTCTATTATTTGTCTTCTTCAGCTGTATAGGAAAATGTAACCATGAAATTTGCAGGCAAATGGATAGACCTGGAAAGTGGGGCCACTCAAAGCAAACCAAGCCAACCAGAATGTTCTTTCTCACATGCAGATCCTGGTCTATAGTGTCTTCATGCAAACAGCTATAGGGTGAGCACAGTGTGACATTTGAAAGGAGACCAAGAGCAGGTGGTATTAGGCGATGAAGACGGACAGGGTGGACAGGGTGCAGGTAGAAGGACACAGGAGTCATGGCGGAGGATATAAAACTGATGGTTTTCCAGTTTCAACCCTGTTGTAGTTTTCCTTTTGTGTCTCTGCTGAGTGTAAGAATGTAACCGAAAGTGAATGTGTAAATCCCTAATCATTTGCTGTCGCTGGGAGGCCTGCTCTGTTCTGAAGGGAAGCAGGAGGAGGACCCCACGACTGGGAAGGGTGGAGGGAGGGAGGGGAGGCTTTGGTCAGAATGGATTATATGAGAGAAGAATAAATTAAAACAAAACAGAAAACCTAAGGGAAGTTGCATGGTTCAGAAAGGTTGCTCTAGCTGTGAAGTTCATTGAGATGTATGGAGTTTGGGACTGGACAAACGTTTATGTGAGTGGCTACCTTAACTCCGTGATATTTTTATTTGTGACTTCATTAGGTTAAAGTGATTTTATTAAAAAAAAAATTCTTCTGGGTGGTGGTGGCACACGCCTTTAGTCCCAGCACTCTGAAGGCAGAGGCAGGCGGATCTCTGTGAGCTCGAGGCTAGCTTGGTCTACATAGTGATTTGCAGTACAGCAAAGACTACACAGAGAGAGCCTGTCTTGAAAAACAAAACAACAACAACAACAAAAGATTCTTGGGGAGCCCTAGAGAAATGGTTCAGAAGTTAAGAGCACTGGCCCACAACTGTCTATAACTCCAATCTCAGGAGAGTCAACGCCTTCTGACTTCTATGCGGGCACTCACACACATAAAATAAGGAAATCTAAAAAAAAAAAAAAAAAAATTCTTTGAGGAATATCTCCCAAAGTGGAACTGATGGCTCCCATTTTGATTTTTGGAGAACTGCTTTCTGGTTTTCCATAGCATCTGCACCATTTTCAATTAGTAACTTCGTTCTTCAACCATTTCACACACACACTCACACACTCTGCTCTCATGGCCGCCTCTTCTCCATCCTGGGCATCTCCTTCTCACGTGTCTGTCTGTTTTCTGTCCCATTTTTCAGTTGAGGAAACTGAGGTTCAGGGACGGGAGGTGGCTCACACAGGACAACAGGGTGAAACCCAGGGTCAGATTTTTTTGTCCAATGGTCTTATGTAAGTCTGTCCTTCCTCTCATTTCTAAGGCAGTTGCCAAACGCTCATATCTTCCTGGGAGCAGAATAGAGAAACCCGGGATCCAGGGATGGGAAAGGGAGGGAACCAGATCAAAGCCCTTGGAGAAAATCCATCTTTCAGGGGGTTGCATCATCAGAACAGAACTCAGTGTCTTCTCTTTGACCAGGAACAACCTCCCTATAACCTCAAGGCTTTCCGTCTGCGGATCGATTTCCCCAGGGATTATCCATTAAAGCCTCCCACTTTGAAATTCATCACCAAGATCTACCACCCCAACGTCAGGGAGGATGGGCTGGTGTGCCTGCCCCTCATCAGCATCAGGAACTGGAAGCCTCACACCAAGACCTACCAAGGTAGGGCTGGCCTTGCCCAGAAGAGGGTTCGTGTAGATGGGGGCCATTGTGTGGGGATGTTTGGGGCTTAGTTTGAGTTAAAGGCTTAAAGAGAAGAGATAGGGAGAGGGGTGTGAGTCGGTTGGTGGAGTGCTTGTCTTCCATGCCACATGAGCCTCTGCACAAGCTCTGTGGTGTGTGTATGTGTCGGATTCCCACGTGTCACCTACACACAAATAAGTTAATTTCAAAAGCTCATTCTCAATTGCATAACAAATTTGAGGTCTACTTGGACTACATTAGCCCCTGAGTCAAAAGGAAATAAACAAATGCCGGATAGGTGACTCCAAAGTTAAGAGCGCAAGGCGTGTCTGCAGAGGACCTGGGTTTGTTTGGTTCCAGACCTCAGGCGATGGCTCCCAGCCATCCGTCATTCCGGTTCCAGGAAGCCCAGTGCCCTCTTCTGGCCGTTACAGGTACTGCATGCATGTGGCGCACATGCACACAGAGGCAAGATACTCATGTGTAGAAACTTAAGACTGTATAAATAAAAATGTTTAACCATTTATTTATTTAATATGTATGTATCCTTTGTCTACATGTATGTCTCTGCACCATATGCACGTCTGGTGCCGGTGAAGGCCAGAAGAGGGTGTTGGAACCCTGGGACTGGAGCGACAGACAATTGTGAGGTGCCATGTAAAGGCTGGGAACCAAGTGTAGTGCTCTTACCTGCCGAGTCACCACACAGTCCAAATAAATACATTTATTTACTTATGTATTTTATATATGTGGATGTTTTGTCTGCGTGTATGCGCAGCAAAGAGGGCATTGGATCCCCTGGGACTACAGTTGTAGAGTTATGAGTTCACCAAGTGAACTCAGGACTTTTAGAAGAGCAGTTAATGCTCTTATCAGATGAGCCATCTCTCCCGATCAAGCACATTTTAAAGCTGAATAAAGTCTAGGTGAGCCTGTGGGATGAAGGGATGCTTCCTGAGATACTGGACGGTCAGGATACTCTTCAGGTGTGACCGAGAAACTGAGCCATGGTTCGTGCGCAGCTGAGAAAGATTAAAAGCCACTGGGGTGGGAACGGTTTTCAGTCTTTAGTTTAGAACTCCTTCACCTCAAATAAAAGTTTCTTTAAAATTCCAACCTAGCAGAAAACCAGGGTGTTTGAGACGTGGCTCTTCAGTTAAGAACGATTGCTGTTCTTGCTGAGGACAGTTCAGTTCCCAGCACCCACATTAGGCCCCTCTCGACGCCCTCTAACTCCAGCCCGAGGGTATCCAACTCCCTGTTCTGGCCTCCAAGAGCATCTGTACATGTATGGGCACACACACGCACGCGTGTGTGCGCGCGCACACACACACACACACACACACACACAGAGAGAGAGAGAGAGAGAGAGAGAGAGAGAGAGAGAGAGAGAGAGAAAAAAAAAAAAAAAAAAAAAGAAAATTGTTGGGAGCAGTGAGACCCCAGATCCTGAATTTCTTGTAATCCCCTGATCTGAGTGCCTACAGCTGCTCTGAGCACAAGACCCGCAGAAGTTCCTGATGGCAAGAGAGTGGTTTCTGGTGGGTTTGGCTGGGGCGTGCCTGTCTCTATATAATCTGCCCCTGAACACAATAAAGGAGGCATTCTTGGGGAATTCAAGGATGACCCGTGTCGCTGTCTCTCTGTCTGTGTGTGTCTGTGTATTTTAACCTCCAGCCCCTTGCCCGAAGCTCGGTAACTGGGTGCCAGCTCCCATGCTCCTCCTTGGCACTGACCCCCCTCTCTGTTCTCTCTCCCCAGTCTTGGAGGCCCTCATTGTGCTGGTGGGTAAACCCAATCCAGAAGAGCCTGTGCGGTTGGAACTTGTTGAGCTCCTGATCCAGAACCCAGAGATGTTCAAGAGAAACGCAGAAGAGTTCACCCTTATGTTTGGAGAGGACAGGCCCTCTTAGCTCTCCTTCTCAGGCCTCTCTGCCTAGATCTTCTGCTTAGTGGGTGTGTATCAGGACTGGCATCAGAGGCCTTTGGAGGACTATCCTCTGATCACATTTTCCTTTGTGGCTACTAATTATGAATAAATGTGCCTAGTGTGTGTGTGTGGGGGGGGGAGGCCTGTGTGGAGTGTGCTCCTTCCCCAAGTCATCTGGTGGTAGAGGTGCCATTCCCACATGCTTGGCTGCTCCCAAAGCCAGTGCAAGTTAGGTCCGCACAGTTTCGGGCCTGCTTTCCCATTCTCCATCTGGCAGAAACCTGAATGTCTCAGGGCCCAGGCACCAAGGAAGAAGGAAGACAGGACCATGGCTAGAAGGCTGGGCACACAGAAGGAGCCAAATTCACTGCTGAGTGATTGGAATCAGCCATGCTTGTTATAGGCATGCCCCGACTTAAGTGTTAATCATTTTGTTTTTGCGCTGGTGAATCTCAAAATGAAGAATTTAAACTCCATCCAGGAACCAGACTTCAGGGTTCTAGACGGCTTGCTCTCTGACTGGCTACGTTTCTGGGGGCTAGGCCTCAAGAAGGGGTTTGTGTACCTCTAACCTCTAGTCCAGGGAGCTCCACAAAATGTGTGCGCTTGTCTGCCATTGACTTCACAGATGAATCCCAGAGTTCAGCTAAGTTTTCCATGAGAGGAAAGGGTTTTTTTTTTTTTTTAAAGCTTTTGTTGCATTTTCATTTTGAGTCTTTGTGTACGGTGGGTGAGCACACCAAGGCCTGGGAGCAGAGGTACAAGAACATTTCTTGGGAGAGAGTTTTCTCCTTCACTATGTAGGTCCTAAGGATTCAACCAAGGCCACCCATCTGGCTTGGTGGCCTGTACCTTTTGCCTTCTGAGCTGCTTGGGTTAAATGTTTCATTAGAAGGAGGGCTGGCTGAGGACTGATAAAGAGTGTGACCCTGCTTCTAGTGGCTATTGTCCACACACGATCAGGAATGCTGGCCCTGAGTGGACCATCCTCAGGACGCCTTCCAATGGACATCTGTCAGTCAGCAGAGGCCACATTTCTTCCTATAGCCTGGGCAGCCTGTCTGATTTCCCCTCGCTGGTGCTAGGGAATGAACCCACAGCTTCATGGACGCCAGACCAGTGCTCTCTCACCCACTGAGCTTCAACACAGTGGCGTTAACACAAGGCGGAAACTTCAGACACACTGGGAGGGATTTGTTTCATTTGAAAACCATCGAGTTAGAATTGCCATCCATCTCGAGAGCGCCACTTACTGGCCGGGTGCGGCAGCCCAGTTGGGTGAGATTTCTAGAGATGGTCTACTTCCTGTCTAGAAATCCCCCCACTGTGGGGGAGACGTGGAGGGGGGGGGCTGGGAAACTGCCACCCACAGCTCCAAATGCAGGCTTCTTTTTATTTTTGGCCGCTGCCTATTGCACACACGTGTGGCTCGTTGGGGTGCGGGGAGCATCAAGGAACGAGAGGAACTTTACAAAAGCACTTTTAATGACACCGGGACTGGAGCCACCTGTTTCGCGCCTGGCGGCGTGAAGCACCTCAGAAGCACCTCAAGGCCATGGCTGTCGGCTGTCCCCACCTTGCTTCCTCCACCAGCACGACTTTGCCCTTCATTTCTTTTTCGTCTTCACCAGCCCTTTCTGCACGAGGCTACGGTACAGCTCCTGGATGTAGGTGTAGACACACTTGGAGTCGGGCACGGCTAGCCGCACCATGTCATCCACTTCCAGCAGCTGGGCACAGTCGGCTAGTTTCCTGAGGAGAGGGCAGAAGGAGGGGCATAGGGTCAAAGGTGAAGAGGGAGCCCAGGAGACGGGTCCAGGCAAGTGAAGGCCATTGGGTCAGCCAACCCAGTGTGCGTGGAGTGTGGTACCTGAGGTCCCTGCAGGGGACCTACAATTTCGATGGGCCTGGGTCTCCAGAGCCTCACGTTTTCTAGTCTGTATTCTCTTCCTCCTCGAACACGAGCACAGCTGTGCTGTGGATTAGGGACAGAGCATGAGCCCTCCCTAGAGTGCTGGCTTGCAGCAACCTTAACAGCTCTCATCAGTGAGATCACCTATTTTGTAAGCGCCTACTGTGTGCTAACAGTCTTCTGTTTGTCAGCCAAAACTCTGCCCTCACGGGGCCAACAGTAACCAAGCCCATGAAGCAGAAGCTCTATCAGATTGGTGAGAGCAGAAAAGGGCCACTCCACGCTAGAGAGGACCCCCGATCGTTTTTAATAGGGTGCTCCATAGCAGTCGACAGAGAACATTTGTGTGACTGCTCTGTGTGTGTCTAGAAGGCAGGGGACCCAGCAAGTCCTCATTTTCTAACATCTTGGCTACATTTGGAGGCTACTTGATAGCCCTGGCTCTGCTGAGGCTGATAAGCTTGGCTAATCACGGCTGGGGCCTCCCTGCCCGGTGCCAGGTGTCTTATCGGGTGACCCCGGGAGACGGTCTCAGTTACTCCTCTTTATCTCTAACAAGCAGAGGAAGAACTGAGCTCAGAGGGTTTGGTGCTTTGCCCAAGGTGAAAGAGTGTAACAGCTGGGAGTGTGGTGCCTGAGGTCCCTGCAGGGAACCTATAATTTCGATGGGCCTGGGTCTCCAGACCCTAACATTTCCTAGTCTGTATTATCTTCCTACCCCACCCTCTGCACAACCCTGTCTCCACCAGTGACTCAGAAGTTTCTTTCTGTGTCATTTCCCAGGTTGGAGGTAGGAGCTTGAAGGTGGCAGGAACCCCAACCCCTTTTCGCCACTCTGGCAACCATGCTTGTTTGGTTGGTTAGTTGGTTGGTTTTGTTTTAAGATAGGCTCTCACTGCATATCCCCAGGTGGGCCTGGAACTTGAGGTCCTCTTGCCTCCACCTCCTGAGTGTGGGGAATATAGCCATGTGTCCCCACACCCCTTGTTCAAAGTCTTATCTTTGACCCAGTTTCCCCCTCCAGTCTCACTCTTCCTTACACTGCCCTTGGCATGTGGCTATGTGAGCCTCGGCAATAACACCCCTCCAGGACCCAGGGTGAATGGTGATTATCACGGTACCCTATCATTCATTATAATGATAGCAATGCAGTCAAGAGCTTTTGAAGGGCTTGCTGTGGGTTTGGCCCTGTTATGGGGTCCAGGAACTTAATTATGTTACCGAGTTCTTATCTCTGTACAAGGGGGAAACATCATGGGATGTGGGGGACCTTGGGCATGTCCAAGGTTACACAGAGTTAAAATCTGACCCCACAGTTCCTGTACCCCCCTGTCCAAAACCAGAAGGCCTACCTGTCTTCTCTCCTTTATTCTGCTTGAATTTTGAATTTTCTGTGAATGTGTGTGTTGGTGTGCACATGTGTGTAGGGTGTTGCACCTCAGGAGCCACCCGTCAAGCTATCTGAGTCTTGGTCTCTCACCAATTAGACTAGTATGGTCAACAAATTCCAGAGATCTGCCTGTCTAGGGCACACTTGGGCATTTTACACAGGTCCTGGGGTGGAACTCAGGTCCTCAAGGTTGTGCAGCAAGCATTTTACCAACTGAAATATCTCCCCGGACTCTTGAATGTTCTTCAGGGCACCTGTCGCTGCCTGTCATTATATGTCACCTGCATGTATGTTCTTAGGACCTGTCTCTTCATTTAGAACAGAAGCCACAATGGAACATAGTTTTCTTTGTTTGAGCCATTGACCTAAAGGTGCTTTTAAAACCCCTCAGATACAAGGTTGATTACCGGCACGCATCCTGTGTGCCTCCCCAGACCCCTCTGAGGCCACCCACTTCCCTCCCGACTCTGCCATCCCAGGACTGGGGCTTACTCTGCAGTGGAGAAGGCTAGCGTGAAGTTGTGCCTGCGCTTTGCTGGGTCCAGCTCTGCATAGTCGAAGGCGTCTGGGAAAAACTTGTGGATGAGGGCACAGAAGGCCATGCCGCTGCTCCAGCTGGAGGAGAAGTTCTGGATGTCCACGTGCTGAGATAGACGGACAGGGAACGAAAGACCTAAGCGACCTTGGGCCAGAGGGTCTGGGCTTTGCCTTTCCCATCCTTTGGAATCTGGACCCTCAGATTCTCCGCGGCACACTTGCCCTGGAGAAAGGTGTCCCCTGCCCCTTCTGTATCCCCAGCCCATGCCCACCTCATAGTTTCTTGTCATGGCCCGGCACCACTCCAAAAGCATGTTCTTAACACCACCAATGGCTGCCCCGGCTGCCTTTGTGTTCCGGAACAGTGCAGTGGGGCCCGAGGCTGCCCTGTGAGGGGAGAGGCTAGATACCATAAACAGTCCTTTTTGGGGAATCTCAGGCTACAGGTGATGGTTTCCGCTGGCCCCCAGGCCTCCCTCCCTCCGTTAGCCCCATCCACAGACCCCAGGGAAAATCTCAGCCCACCCTGGCTCCTGGTTTGCATCCTACCCGCCGAACTTGTCCACGATGGCTTTGCGATTCTGTGCACGGGGTCCCCGGGGCCGGGTAGGGACCGACACCCTGCGTTCTGGTGCTCTCTCCTTCTTTTCCACCGAGGATGGGGGCTCCGTGGGGCTCTGGGGCACATCACTGGGTGAAGACTCACTACATGGAGAGGTCACAGAAGCATGAACGGGGAGTGAACCGACACCACTGAGTCCAGAGCAGCTCTGCGGGGTGGGGGCTGGCTGGCTGATGGGGCAGAGGTCTCTGCTATGGACAGACCTGTGCTTAACTGGTACACACCTATCCTGTGCCTAGCACTGGACGAGCCAAAGAGCAATGAGCAGACTCAGGCTAATTCTGGGGAGCTTGTGGTCTGCCTAGGCCATATTGGGATGGAACTAGATTAGGCCTGGGCTCTGAAATGAGTTTGGAGCCTTGCTTTGTTCTTATTTCCTGTGTGATCTTGGGGCTGTCCCCTTACTTCTCTGAACCTCAGCTTTCCCATCTGTAAAATGGGAACAAGGAAGAGACTGGGTGCCATGGAAGAACAAGCCTGGCTGTCTAGCACTTCCTGGACGTCAGGGGCTTTCTGCTCATGCATCATTGGAGCTACAATAGCCTTGTGAGGTCCTTACAATTGTCATGTCCCCTTCACAGATGAGAAGAGGCTTAGTGACACAGCCAAGGACACATGACTGGTAAGCGGCAGAGCCCTCATCCAAACTCAGGCTTTCTGGTCATTCTTTTGGCTAACACTGAGAGAGCTGGAGTCATGGGGCCTGAAGAGGCTTCAGCCATGGAGTAGGAGGTAGACCAGATGTCTCCCATGCCTCTCACTCTTTGTTTCCTGGGATCTGTCTGGGATACAAGGCTGAGGGCCAGGAATCCTGGAATATCTGGAAATCAGGTTCTGGGGAGGCCCAGAGAGAGAGGTGATGAGCAGGGGATAGGAGAGGTCCGAGTTCTGGGGCTTGGCCTTACCTGGCCGAAGGACTGGTCTCTCCAGACGCTGTGGAGTCTGGACCCAAGCCATCTGGATGGACGGAACAGAGCAGGAGGAAGCTGAGGCTCTGTCATGGGCTCCTTGCAGCTTCCTTCCTCAAGTCAGCCTTGTGGCATGCTGGGATCTCCCTTACCTGGGCTGAGGCTGGGTCCCTCATCTGTGGGGCTCTCAGGCCACTCCTCGGGGGAGCTGGGAATCACCGCTGCCCTTTCTTCTGATTCTTTCTCCTTTCCCTGCTCCTGCTCTTCTGTGGGACTCCCCAGCTCCTGGGATGAACGGGATCTGTGTGGGCAGCTACCCAAGGCTTTCTAAGGACTTCAGAAAGATTCGGAAGGCAGTCTGAGCCACAATCTCCTTCCCCGAGTCCCACTCCCAGGATCTTGGTACCTGCTGGGGGAAGACTGTGCTTTCCCGAGGTATTGTTTGGATAGAAAGCGGCTACATCCTCTACTGAGGGGTACTTGTGTCATGAGGGCGCCAACCTCACCAATAGACTATCGCATTGGCAACAAGTTCGTAATTGAATGAGTTATTATAGGAGGTAGGGACCTAGTGAGAGGATCTATCCACGAGGGGTGTGCTTTTGAAGGGCATATCTTTCAAGTGATGCATGTATGTTTGTGATGTGTTTGTGTATGTGTGTGTGAATGCATTTATGTGTGTATGGGCACAGACATGCCACAGTGTGTGTGTGTGCATTTATGTGTGTGAGTATGGCCATAGGCATGCCACAGTGTGTGTGTGTGTAAATGTGTTTACGTGTGTGAATATGGACACACACAAGCCACAGTGTGTGCATGCACATGTGTGCATAGATCAGAGGAGAACCTCAGGTGTAATCCTTTCTTTTTCTTCTTTGAGACAAGTTCTCTTTGTTCTTGGGCTGTGCATAATAGGATTCTCCTGTCTTTGCCTCCCATCAGGCACCCTGGGATTTCAGATGTGTGCCCCTGTGCCTGGCTCATCCATGCGTTCTGAGGATTTGAACCCAGGTGCTTCTTCTCGCATAGCAGGAGTTTTTACCCAAGGAACCATCTCCCCAGCAAGGGGAATATCTTATGATCTGAGATTTCTTCTCCCTGTCTCCTGTTCCTTGACTGCCATGGGGAAAAGTTTTTCTCTATCCTGGTGCCCTTTCTCCGTCTTTCTGCCTTAGCATAGACCTCAAAGCAATGAAGCCAGGACTGAAACCTCTGAAATCATGAGCCAAAATAATCCCCCCTCTTTAAATAGATTTGCTTGGGTGTTTTGTAGTAGTAATAACAACAACAACACCCCAGATGAACAAGGGAATCGGGGAGGCTTTAATTCCAGGGAAGAGGAGACTTGAAACCCTCATTCATCCCTGCTCACCTGCAGCTCCTTTGCGTCACTTCCGGTCTCTGTCCCATCAGCTGCCTCAAGTTCAGCGTTGGCCTGGTCTTTTACATCAGCCTTCTGCTGAGATTCCGTCTCAGCCTTTTCAACAGTAGCCTCTGCCTCAACACCATCCTTGGGTTCAGGCTTGACTTTATCATTCACATCCGATTTGTCCTTAGCGTCCAGATCAGCCTCCTTTCCGTCAGCTTTCTGCGCCTCCGAGGTCGGCGTGGTCTCCTCTTTCCCTTTAACCTCACTGGGTTCCGGTGTTGTCTCTTCTTTCTTGCCAGCCTCTCCCTCAGAAGCCGTGGTGGTCTCTTCCTTCCCGCCCTCCTCCTCTGCAAGCTCAGCCTTGGCTCCCTCCTTCCCACTGGCCTCCTCTTGCGTGTCTGCCGTGAGCTCTTTGGATCCGTTTTCATCCTCTGGGCGCCGCCCTGACACCGTACCCTCAGATGCGGCTTCACACTGCTGTCCTGCCTCACCTGGAGACCCTTCTTTCACACTTGTCCCAGCTGTGCCTTCAGCCACCTCCTCTGTAGTGCTCTGACTTCCTGGTGGCCCAAGATTCCCAGCAGTTGGAGAGACAGTGATCCTGTCCTCAGAGGGACTTCCTTCTGTCTGTTCCATGTCTAGAAAGGGAAGACATGAAGACTTGGTCACACGCCACCCGGCATGAGATGCAGACCTTGCCCTCTGAGTGCCCTGGCTCAGGAGTCAGGAATATGATGTCCTGTTTCCCTTCCTAGTTGGGCATGATACCACATACCCATGCTCCCTGTGGTAACATAAAGCATACAGATCTTTTGCTAAAGTGGGGCCATATTGACTTGATATTGGATGGTTTTTATCCAATACCCTTCTGTAAGCTATGGCTTTATTATTATTATTATTATTTTGAGGCAGGGTCTCATGTAGCCAAGGTTGGTCTCAAACTTGCTTTTTAGTAGAGGATTTCCCTGAACTCCTGATCCCACTGCCTCTGTCTCCTGAGTGCTGGAACTACAGGCTCGCACCACTACACTTGACCATTATTATTATTATTATCATTATTATTGTTGTTATTAATCATCAAACCTAGGGCTTCACGCATGCAAGCCGTCACTTTACCACTGAATGAAGCGTCCAGGCTCACATACTGCCTTTTCAATGATTTTGCCTCGTTTTGATGAGCACAGTGAGGTGGTCACAATTTTTTGCCCTCGTTCTGGAATAAGGAAGGAACAATCGCTGCTCACCCCCTAGAGCCTAAATCAGACCAGCCTATAGAACTGAACAACCCTGCTTCACTTCCATGACATGGATTCTCAGTTATCTTCTATTTCTGGTGAGTGATATTGAGCTTCTATCTCCAGCAGTGATCTGAAATGTCTTTTTAAAATGCATTATTGGATTTAAAAATAACTTAATTCAAAACAAGACGGGCATCACGAACATTTGAGCAAAGCAAGTACAGACGTCAAATCGCAGAGGTGCTGTAAAAATAAAAACACTCGAGACTCGACAGCCCCTGGGCAGGCTCGTTTCTGAACCTCCGAAAGTCAATGAGAAGAGTTTGCTCTGGTGAGAGACTAGAATCACACCCTCCCTGGTCTGCAAAGCTGGCCTCGACCTGCTCTTGGGTATATGTGGAGAAGATGCTCCCTTAACTTGGAGATTCCTCTTTGAGTCTGTATAGTTTTGGTGCTGGGGATAGGGCCAATTCCTCTACTACCTGCTCTTATCAGGGGGTCTGTTTACAAGGAAAACAGCTCCCAGATAGGGTTCAGGGCATGACTCAGACCATAAGAAAAGCGACGCTCCTGTCACTGGCTAAAAATACCGCCTGCTTTTGGCAGTACTTTCTTTCTCAGTGAGAGCACCTAGGACACCTTGGTAAACTGGGACAGAGCTCAGGCGGCATGAAGACAGCCACCCACCTCAGTCTTCTGTTCCTCCAGACAAAAGTCCTGGGGTCTCTGGGTTTGGTGCCCTCCACTTTCTAGGAAGCAGACGGGATTTCGTAAAGATACGAAGACCGCCTGCCACCATAGCCCCTTGGTGGTGCAGCAGCTCCAGCCATATCTTCTAGCAAGAGGGGAAAGTGCCTGTGTGGCGGCATGCAAGGGTGATGGCCAGGAGGTCGTGGCATAGGGACCCCGGTATTCCTGTCACTCAGCTCATTCCCTCTGAATCCCAGCTTCAGGGCAGAGTTTCTAGATGATAGTCTGTGGAGGCGTGGCACAAACGAAAGGGATAGGCTCACTGGCAGAGTGCTTTCCTGAAGCGTACAAAACCTTAAACTCAACCTCCAACATGGTCTAAATTGGGTGTAGTGTACATGCCTGTAAACCTAGCATCTGTGAGGCAGGAGGGGGAGGGTCAGTCTCAGTCCATGATGAGTCTGAGGCCAGCTGAAGAAAGGAAGGAAGGAAGGAAGGAGAGGAGAGGAAAGAAGGGAAGAAAGGAAGGAAAGCAAGCAAGGAAGGAAGGAAGGAAGGAAGGAAGGAGAGGAGAGGAGAGGAGGGAAGAAAGGGAAGAAAGGAAGGAAAGCAAGCAAGGAAGGAAGGAAGGAAGGGAAGAAAGGGAAGGAAGGAAAGGAAGGAAGGAGGGAAAAGGAAAGGGGAGGGAAGGAAAGAAAGAAAAGAAAGGAAAGGAAGGAGAGGAAGAAGGAAGAGAGGGAAGGGAAAGAAGGAAGGAAGGGAAATGAAGGAAGGAAAGAAGAAAAAAGAAAGACAAACCAAAGGTTCTCTTGACAGTGAGAGGAAGATGTATTTATTCACTGACCAAGGTTGTTCCAAATATAGCCAACTTTTCACTCTCCTAGAGAGATACAGCATCATTAGCACTTAAGGAGGTATCAGGTGTCACTGAGTTAAAAAAAAAAAAAACAACTAAAAACATAGCTCGAAAATCATTGAATTCACCTTTCCCTAAGCCTACCTGTGCACGGGTTTTCTCTTTGCCCTCTTTTCTTACTGGAATGCCTTCCATGAGGCAGTCCTATTGATCCCTTTGACAAAACCAAGCTCAAGATCTGAATGAGCCACATACCCTCTTCTCTTTCTGTTCTTTGCCCTTGTGGGGAAGGTGGCATGCACCAGTGGTGAATGGCATTGTGGTCCTGTGATGGGAGGATGCCAGCTCCCACCACTCACTTTGTGATGCTTGCTCCGCCTTTTCGTTTCCCTGGATAGAAATAGAAATAGCCGTCCACCCGTATGGATGGTGGAAGGCTCAGACCACTAGCACGTGGGCAGGACTTGGAAGGAGAGTCCTTAGCCCATAGTTTGCCTGCTGAAGATTGACTGTGCCATTCCTGGGCCAGGGTGATGATCTGACCTGGTCCCCAGGGCATTACAAATGACACACACAGAGAGAACTGAAGTCAGTAAGATGACAGCAAACCCTTTTTTATGCCTCCAAGTGAGGCATATTTGGCTAAGACATGGCTGATTGCTTCAACCGCCTATCCTTGTAGCTGCAGGCTACACACTTGAGGTGGGGGGAGGAGACGGTATGCATGGGAACACACGCACACACACAGCTGTCTTGAGGTGGGGGGAGGCAACAGCATATATGGGAACACGCACACACAGCTGTCTTGAGGTGGGGGGAGGCAATGGTATGCATGGGAACACACGCATATACCTCAGCTACCTTGAGGTGGGGGAGGCAACGGTATGTATGGGAACACGCGCACACCTCAGCTACTTTGCCAGTTCATCACCTTCACTTTGCCCTCTAGGCTTGTCATAAATAGGAAGAGAAGACCTGAATACTGAGGAGCAGGATAGCACCCTGCCCCAGCACTCACGATTCTGCCCCCACTTTACAGAGTACGCTGAAGCACTCTGTTTTTACTTTAGTTCCTTGACTGACCCCTCAGAAGGGGTGACTAGCCTCATTTTATACTTTAGGGGTCTGGCTTAGGGATTATGGTTCTTGGGACTAACGTCATAGGAGAATTAAATAGGCCAGACCATATCCAGAACCTAGGTTTCCGGAGTCCAGGGTTAGCGCACGTGTTGAAGATACTTTCCCCACTAGATCCTCAGCCCAGTGTCCACTCAAAGTCCCAGCTCAGAAGAGTAGTCCCCCGCACCTGGGGGAGGACCCACTGAATAAGTAGAGTTCCCCTCAGGGCATCCTAGACTCACTTCATTTCCCAGCTTTACTCCTGACTCCTCCTTTCCTGTTCCCCTGAACTTCAACCGTTATCCTTATCTTGTGTCCAGTTCAGCTCTTTGGTTCAGCTCCCCCAGTCCAGAAGGAAAACCCAAGTTCTGAGCCTTGAACAATGTGAGAGATGCTGGCTATTTCTGTGATGCCTCTATCTCCCACTGCCGCCTAGTCCCTCTCCCGGTAGCTCTGAGGCCCCCTACCTTACCACCTCAGCCCTTTCTCGGAGAGGCCATTGCATCCTAAGCCCCCGAGATCTCTACCTGTCCTGCTAAGCCCTCTTCATAAATCGCTGCTTGCAGGCTACTCTGTGCCCAACCTCAAGCTTCCCGACTCTTTTAGGCAGCTAAAAACAGTTGATAGAGTGGAGAGGATAAAGAAGCAGCTTGAATTTCTCATTGTAGGATCCCGGTTAGAAGATCTGGCTCTTGGATGGAAGAGGAGGGGCTGGAAGATATGGGATTAATAAGAAAGGGACCCAGGGCTTTTCCTACCTGTGGGGTTCTGCCTGCAGCTTAGGAGCTCCTGCCTCGTTCTAGCTGAGTGGCCTCACTCTGACCATCCCTTAATTTCTGGTGGCTTTGAGCCCCCAGCTCGTAGTCCCGCCTCCTTGCTTTCACACCCCCCCCCCAGGCCTGGGCTTTGGGAAGAGCATTGTTTACTGCCCTGTTGGTACAACACTTTCTCTTAGACTGGGAGGCTCAAATTTCCCCTGAAGATCTGACAGGTGGCGCCTTTCAATCACTCTGGCCCGACCCTAACAGCATCTCTTCTGTGATCACCTTCCTTCCTGAGGTGCTCTGGCCCTGGAAACCCGGACAAGCAACAGCCTGTTTAGAATACGGTCTCTGGTCGCCCGTGATCATTCACAGCCAGGCTAGACCTTTGGGCTCCCTCAGCCCCTTGTCGCCAGGCTTCCTCTAATTGCCTCCTTTACTCCCGCCTAGACAGAGCAGCTGCTGAGGGGTAGGCTCAGGAGGTGGCAAATGAGGCAGCTGCCAACAGTGGGCTTGCACCGGACTAGGAAGCTTGAAAGGGGAGGGGCCAAGAAGAGAGAGGAATGGAGAGAGCCAATGAAACACCGGTCTTAGCATCTATAACATACATAACTCATCGGTTCTGTTTTGAACAGGATTGATTGGTACATGATCAGCTCTGAATATGATGTGTGTGTGTGTGTGTGTGTGTGTGTGTGTGCTGAATTGAAATTTTGCTCAGAAAAACAAAACAAAACAAATCCTTATCCTGGCTGTGTGTCCCACAATTTAAGGAGGGTACCATTTGGAGAGTGTGGGCTCCTCCAACTCCCCTCCCCCAGCCCCTTCCACTCAGCCACACTGGCTTGCTTCCTGTTCCTTAAATAAATCCAACCAGCGCTTTCAGGACTCAGGACCGGGTTTTCCTTCTGCTCTTTGTGAGATGGGCTCCTTCTCAGTGTTCTGGACCCAGCTCAAATTTCTCTTCCTCAGCGAGGTCCTCCGTGATTGTCAAGCTCTCGCCATCACTCCTGCCTGCTTATGTACTTCATAATGTTCACAGGAATCAGAAATTGCATTCTTAGCCACGTATGGTGGTGCACACCTTTAATCCCAGCACCCAGGAGCCAGAGGCAGGCGGATCTCTTTGAGTTTGAGGCCAGCCTGGTCTACAGAGCAAGTTCCAGGACAGCTTGAATTACATAGAAAAATCCTGTCTTGAAACAAACAAACAAACAAAAACAAATCAAACCAAACCAAAACATTCTTACCCAGGCAAGGTGGGTACACTTTAATCCAATGCTTAGTGGGCAGAGGTAGGTCATTTCTGAGTTTGAGGCTAGCCTGTCTACAGAATGAGTTCCAGGACAGTCAGGACTACACAGAGAAATGCTGTCTTGATAAATAACAATAAATTTCATTCTTAGGGTTGGAGAAATAGTTCGTTGTTGAAGAGCACAGTGCTTGCTGTTCTTACAGAGTACCCAGTATGCAGTTCAGTTCTCAGCACCCACATAATGGCTCACAACCCTCCGGAACTCCAGTTTCAGGGGATCCAATGTCCTTATCCGACCTCCAAAGGCATGCATGCAGTGCAGATCTTTAACATTTATTGTGAATCTCCCCTCCTCTATGAGGACAGGGAATCAATTTTCCATGCTCACAGATATAGACCTAGAGCTTTGCCAGGGTCTTATTAGGCTCTTGATAAATACATGTTGAATTAGGGAGCCAATCAAGGAAAACAGAAAAAAAGAAAATAAGCTGGGGTCAGTGTCTGGGATGATAGGAAAGAGAGGTTATTGCATGAATCCA